CCTGGCAGGGCCTGGGCAGAGGGCGGAGGGCAGGGCCTGGGCAACACCCACTCATTAACATCCTCCCCCAGACCCGGACAACAGGTCTGTGTGGAACTCAGTGAGTGGTTCCCGGTCACCCCTCGGCAGCTGCAGGCGCCACACCTGTGAGTCCTGCCCTCCGACCCCCGACCCCCGCCGTTGCTCAGCGTCCCCAGGACCAAGGTCACTGGCGCACCCACACCATCCGCCCCCGCCGCACCCCGTCCCTCGCGAGAGAGATGGCTGTTCTGCCCCCGTGCTGCCCCCCCACACACACACAGGCAGGCTCACCTTGACGCTACGTCTAATTCCATTTTTATCCCCGGCGTTTGCTGACACGCGCTTTCTCGTCTTTGCCCACAGAACACAGATGCCTTTGAAAGCTCCGGGCCTGGAAATCCTCAAGGCACCTCGCAAACCAGATAAACAGTTTCCTGCCGATCCGTAAAGTCCTCCCGGCCCCCCTGCCTGCCATGGAGGTCACCTCGGCCCGGGTGTCCGCAGAGGAGACGCGGCGAGGATTCTAGGGCATCGCGTCGAGGGACCCGGCCGGGTGCCCGTGGGGCCGTGAGCCAGCGAGACCAGTGTCCCCCTCCAGGGAGGCCCATCACCCGCCCTCGGGGCCTCTCGAGAAAAACCCACTGAGTCTCCAGGCGCCGTCTGCAGGATGACCGGCGGGGCCGTCCCTGTGAGCGGCCCAGGTTCTGGGTGAGGTCAGTACTAGGGGGAGGGGGACACTGGAGGAGAGCCGTGGGGGTCATGCAGAGGTCACCCTTCCTCTCATCTTCCTCTCCGATGGTATTTTTAATACATTTTTATTGATTTCAGAGAGGAGAAGGAGAGAGAGAGAGAGAGCCATCAATGCTGAGAGAATCATGGATCGGCTGCCTCCTGCACACGCCACACTGGGGATGGAGCCCACAACCCAGGCGTGCGCCTGGACCGGGGATCGAACCCTGACCTCCTGGTTCCTAGGTCGATGCTCAACCACGGAGCCACACCGGCCGGGCCTGACAGTCAAGAAGGGGAGAGTGGGTAGCAGCGCCCTCAGAAAGCAGAGGAGCAGGTCCCGACCCCCAGCCCCTGCGGGCGGGGCCCCATTTGGACTTGGGGTCGTTGCTGACAACTCAGAGCTCAGGTGTGAGCCTCCTGCAGGGGGCGGGCCTAACCCCACGGCTGCTGTCCTTCTGGGGGGGAATGTGGACACAGGCAGGGGGACACAGACACAGAGGTGAGGAGGTCCCACGATGAGGGAGGCAGACTGCACGGACACCCCTACCCGCCAGGGGGTGGCAGCGATGCAGGTGATTCCCAGGGTCCCAGAGAGAGTGGGCCCGGGTTCCGGACTCCTCACCTCCAGCATCAGGAGAGAATAAGTCTCTATTGTTTTAGGGCCCCTGGCCCCCATCAGTGGTCCCATGTGGCAGCCCCTGACACCCCCCCAGGCACCTGGATTGGGGCCCTGCCCACAGGTCCTTCCCACGGGCCCCACCTACAGACCCCTCCCACCAGGCGGCTCTGATGAGACCCTGTGGGTGCGGCCTCTCCTCACCCCTCCCATCTGGGGAGCAGCCAGCGCTTCCAGCGCATCTGCAAACTCCTCTCACCTTAATTGCTCCTAATGCTCCAACACCTGGTGACTAACAGGCTCTAATTGGGCAGCGCCAGGCGGGGATGGGGACAGCGATGGGGACAGGGATGGGGACGGGACGGCACGCGCTGGGAGCCCTGTAACTGGGCCTCGGCGCCCAGGAGTCCCCAAGGAAGAGCACTGGCCGCCTCCTGTTTCTAAGAAAACGTCCCACCAGCACCAATGAGAAGCTTTACCTCCCACCCACCCCCGCGGGGCCAGGACGGGACAGGAAGACGCCAAACGCAGACGGCACGAAAGGTCACCAGTGCCAGCGGGGTCCGGGCCGTCCCCTCCGTGTGGGCAGCCAGGGGCGTCCGGAGGCGGTGTGGAGGGCTGGGGGCGTGGAGGGCCATGAGGAGCTGGTCCAGGCCGCCTCGAATTTATAGAAATTGGGGGGAGGTGGACAGGGGGGTGCGGCTGAAGCTGGCCTCAGCACTCTTCCCGAATCTTCTCCAAATGCATGTAGCCGGGGGCAGGAGCTGGGGGTTTCTAGAAGGACCCGGTCGCCAAACTCCGGTCTCCGTGGGGGCAGCAGGCGGGGCCCCGAGGGAGGGAGGA